GTTGCAACCATCGCATGCACATTTTTCCACAGCATGACCCTAACAGATTGTTCGCTTTCGTTGCATGGGCCCAAGTGTTAGTGCACTGTCTGCTTTGGCCATGACATTGCAGCCGCAGGTAAGGCACATAAGTGGCAAAAGTCCGAAGTCTGTTACGAGACGGCAAGCTGTTTTTTCGAATCAAAATGCTGTTCTGTTCGTGCATATCAAAATGAAGATAAGAAATGATTTGACAGGACCCATTCCCTTCACACAAACTAATTAAGTACTTTTCAAATCATCACCACGTGAGGACAGGTTCTACAACAGACAGATGACCACTTGAAACATTCTGAGACCAAACAAAAAGGTGATTTCTTATGCAAGGTCGCTTCCAGTCGTTTCGTCTAGACATGCCATAAACAAGGCTGTAAGAGGTGCTAACAGAGCTGCGACAAATAACACAAGTAGCCAGTTTCTCAAAACAGAACTTCGAAGATTTTTGGCGTATAATCGCATAATCCAGTTTATCAAAGCAAAAATATACAACTTACAACTACAATCTACGACACTGAAAAATGTAAATAAAATGCACGATCTACGACACAAGTATACGCAAACAATCTTACATGGGTATCTCAAAGCCCAGAACTAATGTACGACAGAGCTTGATCTTGATAAGTCCTTGATGAATTTGGCAATGCAATCAATGCAAGCATTTGTGTCGTAGATTATAATACCGACCTCAGGATTGCTGCTCATTAAAAGACAAACTGCTGAAGTGGCAAGCCTAAACGACATGCAACAGCTACAAAAGGAATAAAAGAGCATAGCACTTACGTGTGGGCAGGTGGTAGTGAGTGTTCCATTCTTTCAGACAAGAAGCCTTAGGTGAGCATGCTAAGATCAAAAGATCAGGCAAAACTGCCTGGTTAAGAAGCTTCCTTTGCAAGCACATCAAAATACATCCCAGTTGAAAGAGATTTGTGTGGCTATCACAATACTTGTCATGAATACAATACATTCCATGTTCATGTCAATTGCATTCCAGACACCTTCAAAGTGAGATACAGGCAGCATCATTGCCTGCAGTGCCTACCCTGGGTAAAAACAATGTGCTGTTCAATAAATGTTAATGAGATACCTTAGCATGACACAACAACTTTACTATAAAATTGACTTCGTTTGGATAACATAACTACATACATATTGTGCATCACTGCGTCAAAGGGCAGCAGCTAGCCTGCATAGTGTCATATAAGAGAAACCTTTTTCCGGTGGTCAGTCATGCAGAAGGAACATGTTCCCAATAACAGATACAGCAGGCTGCTTGTGATTGGATCCATGAATGGCCCTTTTTCAGTGTTCAATGACAGCTCAGGTTTACGTCACATGTTCCCTTAATCTCTGAAGGTTAAATCTGACAGGCTCACTTTCAATGCCCAACATATGCCTAATAAGCGCAGACATTATGTACTTACTATTCACATGGTCTCGTCAACAATCGCTATACAGAATAAAACCTCCATGGGTGGAACATTTTAGGATGGAATTGAGCACTGGAGAACTGAGGAATGGAAAATTGCTTTCTTCGCAGAATTTTTCAATTATGGACAACATTGCCACCAAACTAAGCCCCTAGTTCTGCACGAAACTGCCCAATGTCACATACACCTACGACACGTGCTGCTCTGTTTATTACGTAGCACGTAGACTTACAAACACAGCGCGTCGATGGCAAAAAAAAAAAAAAAACGCACAGCGGTCGACGCAACTAAATGGTGTTGCTGAGAGGTGGGTGCACACCACCACGGGCGAGTCGACGGCCAATGACATCACACAAATTCCTTGCGGACGGGGTGCTGTCCCCACTCTCTCTGGTGTTCTTGAACACCGACAACCGTACTCTTCCTTTGTTGATGGTCGTCGTTGGGGATTTAGGACGCGTTCAGCTACTTAGGCTTTATGGCGTCAACTGCCTCCCACCCTGCCGGAAACGCGGGTATCGCGGGTAATCATACCCCGTATCCAGACGCGTTAACCACTGCACTATCGGTACTTGTCCCTTTGTTTTCATGTCCTGATAAGCGTTGTTTTTCAACCAAAGCGTCATAATTGTAGCTGGAGATAACATCTCTAAAATCGTAAACTAATGTGGTTGGTTCGATGTTGAGCCAAACAAGTGGAAACGTATGTTTTATTTTGTCTTAATCGATGGCAGTTCGGGTAACACATACTCAAAACATAAGACGCATGTTTATGGCTGGTAGAGGTATCTGAAGTTTGGCGGTCGTTGTCTTGGCAACGGGGCGCACATATCTACGCCACTGTCACATGTACAAACTACGACAAATGTCACGTGACGACGGCTTTGAGAAGCCGGCTTGACGTGTAGTTTGTAAAATCGGAAGCGCACATTAACATTTGGCGCAAGATTATGCTTTCGCTTTGAGAAACTGGCTAGTAACAGATCCTAACAGAGCTGCGACACATAATACAAGATTGTAATCGATGTCACAGTACATCATCGCAAGTAACTGAAAACCGCACTATGCGAAAAGACAAACGAGGTAAGCGGTGAGGTGCTTGTCTGTCACATGTTCATGATTTCAAATAACCTTTCATCATTTTTTTCATCAAGTTTCTTTTTTCATCAATTTTAATTATCTTTCCTCTTTTTTCATTTCTTTCGTAAATCTTCGATTTTCGCAACAAAACTGGTTCGCTTACAAAACACATTAATGATATATTTTTGCTGTCATCAAACCAAACATTTGTTAAGTATAGGTGTATCGAGGGACACAAACTAATTTTTTCACGGATTAGGAAAATAGAGGTTTCCCGACACACATAGGCAGGCATCGTTCCACACTGAAAATGGTCACCCCGCTTCGTGTGCTGCTGATGCAGCGGCTTCAGCGGCCCAAGAAACGCTTCAAACGAGGTCTAACATAACCAAGTTACCGTCAGCGCCTGTTGTAAGCATTTTTCGTTGTATTTTCTGCTAAGCGGTTTAGACCAGCTCGTTAGGGCATATCACGCACACTGTTACCGGCCACCAAACACGGCGGCATACATTATTGGACGTCTTCATGAGACAAAATATTAGACAAGACAAGCGATGGAAATATGATGCCCGCTGGTAACAAAACTGAGTGATAAACTTATTTCCGATCCACCTGAAAACGCGATATTTTTTAATCCATCGGGCTTTGTCCAATGCTCCGCTCTGAAATGCTGTTCCGACAGGGCACCGCCAATGTGGCCAGGCCCATAGTGACGCTTCCTGGAGTGACTAGCGTAGCCTAACACAAACCGCCTCCAACGGCACATAACCAGAGATTGACACGTTGCTGTAACGTGACCGTAAGGTAATCCTTTGATATTTACGGACAGTAAGAGGATATTTGCGCCATGCTCCCGCTCATCGCATTTGCGCAATGCTCCCGCTCATCGCTAAGAGAAATGACACCCTCCGAGGGATGTACACGTGGCCCGGCATACTCTTCACGGCTGGCCACCACAAAAACGGCACGCGTTCTGTAAACGGACGCACCGCCGACCCGTCGGCAGCCAGGGCGTCTGCTGAGCCCGCTGCATGCCGACCGCGTGACATCCGGGTCGCCGGGCCTCCGCCCGCGGGGCGACGCCCACGGCGCCGCGCCGAACGCGCCGCGGGGGCTCCGCGGCTGCCGCGCCGCGCCCGCGGGCGTCACCGCAGCCGCCGGCGCCGCGGGCGGGCCGCGTCGGGCTTCCCGGAGCCGGCCGGGCCCTGCCGGAAGTGGGCGACCCTGGAGCCGACGGAGCGCGGAAAGTCCGCGTCTATCGGTCGCGGCGGCGGGACGGGGCGATACCGGCGCCCGCTGTTGCCTTCGGAGGTCACAACGGTGGGCGAGTGCGCCGGCCGGCTGTCCGACGGCTATCTGGCGAGGGACCACCGGCGACGACAGCCGCTCAAGGTTTGCATGCAGCGTTTGATGAGAGGAAAATACATCCCATCGCCACATACCTTGGCATAGAACGCATGCAAGTATGCATCGCTGAGGGCTCCATGAAGATGAGTGGCGAAGGGCGAGAGTGGAGCACGCGAGCCTGTCTGATGGTCTCTTCGGGGGCTTAAAATGCCCAGTAGTGGACTACATTCAGGCAACAGGGCCTCTCCACTGGTTACCTGACTCATCAGATGTGAGCGACATGTAAACTTCGTCCGGTGCTGCTACGTCTGATGCAGCCCGACACCCGCTGATAATAGTTGTCTCCATGCAGGTCTCAGTGGATCCACATTTTGATAAACAACTAGGCCCGGGCGGCCGCGCCGCAACATTGCGCGTCACGTTAAGCCTCCCGCGGCGCCGTCCGACGAGCAGACGGACGCAAAGCTATCCGCCGGAATGGACAGCACATCTTGGCTGGGCTCCGGGCACACGCAACAAGCTACGCTTAGCGGGCACCCTGAACCTAAAGCCACTTACGCAAACCATTCGGAAGAAGGCAAAACAAAAACGTGAACGGCTGCCAAGTACACACGTCTTTAAGAGCTTACTAGATAGAAGATAACGACAGAACATACTTCATGTTCAATTCAGACGCGAACGTTATATATTTGTCATACCGCACTTTCCATGCCTCGCCTTTCCTCATAATCCGCACGGATCTAAACCCAAACCAGCCGCCGTTGATCGAGCATGCATAAAAAGGACAGGGCTTGCCCGATCGGCCGACCCCATTAAACCGCGAATAGCGTAAGTGCACCTTAATGCATTCGGCTGAGATGCAAAATCCAATGGACTAATGCACTGGTTCGCAACGACGCGACCATGAAACACAGCCGGAGACACAGCCGACCCGAGGCGTTCGCCTGGTGTCGCCCCGGCGCAGCGGTCGCTCTCCGACCACCGCCGACTCGGCACCGCGGTCTGTGCCGACCCGGCATCGCGACCCGCGCCGACCCAGCATCGTGACCCTCACCGGACCAGCGCTGTGACCCACACCAACCGAGGCCCTGACCGGGCGCCACTCACCCTTGATGCTGACCACCTTGCCGCGGAAGTCGGCGAAGTAGCGCAGCAGGGCGTCCTTCCAGTAGCTGCGGTACGAGATGAGGCCGAGGTCGGAGAGCGGCTTCTCCGGCGAGCCGATCTTGCCCTCCGTCTTGGTCAGCAGGTAGCCTGCGGACAGCGGGCTCCGTCACGCCTCGTCACCACGGCAGCAGTTTGTTTATCGGCTGCGAGGCGATGCACCGGTCGTAATAGGCCTTGAACGTCGCGCTCACAGTCGTTTGGAAGCATTAGCGCCAATTAAAATGTGCAATTAATGAGCGGGTGACGTGAAAGTCGTCGCCTACATGGGGACGCTCAGCGCGAAAAGGTACGCGCAATACACACGTGCTACCGCGTCGGCCCCGCCCAACCATCACCAACCGGCCAACCCTGCGAACGCCTGCGCTTTCATGACGACTGCAGGCATTCTCCAATGATATGGAAAGCGTGCTGCCATGTTGTTCACTTTTCTTTGAGCTGATGCTTACGTATGGTGACGACCAAGACGTTAAAGGGCCGCCAGGTCGTGCTGAGCGAGTCACGTCAAACGCGTACCGTGTGCAAAAAGATAACAGCCCTGCATTTACATTCACAACCTAGTCCGTGTGCAACAGCGGTGGTCTTTCCCAGTCGCATCGGGCCATCTAAAGGTACATCGCATCACGCCGACGTTCCCAAGCTCCAGCCGGGATACAGCAGCCAGTGGCGTCTTGAGCGATGAACTGATCAACAGCGTGCTTAATGTGTGTAGTGTTCCGAAAGGCTTCAACGAACGTCACGCACAAACAGTTTATGCAACGTGAAATTATGTTGCGACGTGTAGTAATCAACTGGTAGATTTATGTAAAATATCATCCCTAAATCATATTTTTACAAAGTCAAAGTTTCATTTCGATAAACGTCCGCTGCTGTTTGCTCATAACACCACATCTCCCTCCATAATCAGTATGTTGCTCCGATCTGACGCCAGAGAGAGCGTGCTATGACTGTCATTCATGCTCGCAACGACTCGCGGGCTACCAATCCAATGACGTGCCCGCGCGCTCTTACAATGCTGCTCAACGCTAGACACTGAGCGAAGGGAGGTCTGAACCCCGCCGCTCCGGACGCTGGTACCAAAGACTCCGTCGGGCACAGCGTAAGCGGCACTCAGCCCATGGCGCACTTCAGACCATCACGCGGGAGCGGTCTCCCCGGCCGAGACGCCGAGCGTCCAACCGGTCACCATCCGACATAACGGCGTTACGACCGCCCACAAGCCAATTCTGCGTGTCCCGCTGTCGCCGGCGCCACTCGGCCGCCGCCCTGAAAGGTCTCGTGGCGGGCCGCGGCCCATCCGCGCGCCGCCTGGCTGACATTCCCGCCGTCCACCGACATTTGCAACGGCATCCTTGAAATGGCGCGCCCGACTGGCACTGACCGCCGAGGTCGGCCCTTGCGTCACAGCACATCCTGTTACGCTGATTCATTCCGTCACGACGGTCGTGGCTGCAGGTGCGCTCGATGCCAGCCAGCCATTCCATTGCGAATTCGGTACACGGTACAGCGGCGGCATTGTACTGCCCTTACAGCGCTTCAGTACGTACAGCTTGGCCTGTGAGGTCACGTGGTGTAGCTTTGCTCCGGTACACTGCACAGGAGTGTGGTTTTACTCCACTGGACGTTACTTGGCCCGACTGCGAATACTGGCTCCCGCTGTGAATACTGGCTCCCGCTGTGAACACTGTGCAGGTCCGCTCCAGCATCACACGGACTGACGCCAAAAAGGTGCTATTTATGCATGTTTAACAACGAATGGTTTTTCAAAAAAAATTCCAAAGAAAAGTTTTTCAATAAAAAACTTTTTTGAACCCCACAAATCCCGACATCCATGTATACCCCCACGTTTGCGCTTTGTCTTCCGTCATATCACTACGGACCAAAGCGACGCCACGATGGAGGCTCCACTTTGCGGTACTCATCTTCTGCTGGGCTCGTATTTTAAGGTCAAAACCTTACGGAATTATTGCAGCGTCAACAGAAGACGCCTAGTAAAATCGAAGACATTACAAGGATCAGGCGTGTATGCCGTAACTTTCTGTGCATTTGACTTTGAAGTTGGCTGAAGAACCTCGGAGTGATTAAGGCGTTTTCGAGACAAATGTCGCATGTCCAAATTAAAACGTACGAAGCGCAGCGTATAAATAATTTAGCTTCTTCTCAGCCTTGGTAACTGACTAAGGGCAAAACTTGACAACTCTCTGGCAGGTTATTAGAGGAAAAAATAAACATCGTCTCAAAGCATTAGATTAAGGACAAAAAATGGTAATCGTTCCTGACATTAATATTCAAATAATTAATTTTTAATCTAACGACAAAATTCTAGGCAAAAATATCATTCAGCTTTGTGGTAATCGTGTACTCTAAGCAGAACGATAATTTCATCTTCTGGTCTGATTATCCTGTCTTCTCTCAAGCTTAGCCACAAGGCAAATACAGCACAATATCACTAGATAAGCATATCAATAACATGACCCGGGCGACACTGCGTGCTGCACCGTTTAAACATTTCCTTTCAGCCCGAACAAAGGCGCTCACCAGATGCTACACGCGTCTTGTTTAAGTCAACCACACGGACGCCATATGACCAGGTGCTCGCGGTGCCAGAAAATCCAAATCGTAAGCTGGGTCACTGCTGGATAAAATAATAATTCCAATGGCCGCCGGCATCAATGGCATCCATGACTCACACATTACCCGGCCTCTGTCAATTCGGCATGACGAGCGTCTTACGAGGAGATCGGACCGCGGACTGGAGCCTACCATCGCAAGGTCAGAGTCCACGAGATAGCCAGCTGTTTGTCCTGTCGGTCACGCAGAGGTGTGGAGTGGTGACTGGTCACGCAAAGCCAGCCTGCATCGGGCGACCTTGCTGACCTTGGCTGACCTTAAGCACTCTTGGCACTGTGTGGAAAATATCACGCAGTCCCTTCGGGTACCCAGGTTCTGCGTAGCGAGAGAGCCAGGGGAATATACTTTCGGTTTGCTTGAAACGACGCGGCCTTCAGCGTGGGTTGCATTCATTCGTGCATTTGTGACGTTTCGTACAACTTCGACCAACTTAACAGGATGTTTTGAAATCATGGCTTCGGGACCGAAGTCCCAACTAAATATAGATTGTTGCTACCATGTGCCTATCTACTCAGCATGGCTTCGGGACCGACGTTCCAACTAAATACAGATTGTTGCTACCATGTGCCTATGTACTCACTAGAGTGATGTCATTTAGATGGATGGGTTTTGCGCACATATTTTGACGTGCCACGTAATTCCAAGACACGGCCGGCTCCGTTTCAGCTTCGTTATATTGGCCAGATGCTACCTGAGCGGAACAACGGGCCAAGTAAGCGCTGTTTCTGAAACGCCAGCCCACAATGCTTGCCACATGCTGGACACCGTACACGGCGCCCCACCAAATGAGCTAGAGGGTGGAAAAGAAAAACTTGGTGGCATTTCGATGCGCCAACTTCTCGTCCGTCCCTCGCTGAGGCTACAACTTTACAGCTGAAGCGAAACGCAAAGAGCGACGGGCTCGAAATACAAAACATATACGTATATATATATATATATATATATATATATATATATATATATATATATATATAGCTATATGAAAACGGGTGAAATTCTCTAACTTGCAACGTAGCAACGAAAAAAGTCTGCGATTCCAGTCCATTCATATACGTTTCCACCCACCGTTCTACAAACCCTCCGGCCGGCTCCAAACGTCACACTGGATCATAATCTGAACTCACCTGAGCCACATTCCACTGCCGCCTACAGAAATGTGAACCTGTGGTGCGCTCTAAGGCCAAGTACTAATTCATTGGTCCCGACACGACATGACGCGGGACGGTTCGCGACATCGCAGCGGCCCTACAGACCGGCTTCTCGGGACGATGGGCAGTCCCACGATCGCGCCTCCCCCCGGCACGTCTGTTCTCCCACGTCCCCACCAAGGCGGCCAGTAGCCACTCTCACCACCCACCGCAATGGAGCCTGCCGCATCCGGCACCGGGGCTGCGCTTCAGCGAGCGCCCCGACCGTGGCCGTGCGCCGCCGCACCGGATCCCACCACACCCCTGCCTGGTGACCCAGCACGGCTGCTGACCCTCTACGGCTGGCGACCCGGCACAGCTGGTGGCCCGGGACACCCTGGGGGCCGGGGCCGCTCGCTTACGCGCCCCCACCCTGCAGCGCGCCGGCTCATGGTCGCCCGCCAGTGACGTGGCGGTGCTGGCGGGGGTGCTGGAGGGGACCGCCAGCGGCCTCGGCAGCAGACGGCAGACGTCACACCCCAGAGGTAGGTCTGCAGCTGGCAGTCGAACACGACCGGTCCCGTTACCACCAGCCCGCGCCGGGCGGCGCGTGACGGCGTCACTCTCCAGCATCATCGGCACTCACGACACATGGAGAAGGGGGAGATCGCCGAGACCCGGTCTCGCCGTGGCGGGCTGGAGGCAGGCCAGCACAGGAAGACCGGGCGACTGGCGCGAAGCTTTCGAGCCGGGGAGCCGTTTTATTTCGACCAGAATGTCCGATCCAAAACCCAGTTGTCTGTGTGCAGCTCTCAGTTCGCAGGCTTCAAGTGCACAAGGCTGTAATGGGCGTGGCATTCGTGAGCCAACTGCCATCGATAATATTGCCGGAGGCATCTCCCCAGAGCAAGGCGAGTTTCAGACCACCTTGCGTACAGAATGCCACAACAGGCCACTGGTCAACGACCACTTTTTAATCCAGCAAGGGAGGGCGGGCGGGGGGAGGGGGTGAGACCCCACATACAGGACCTCAAATGACGAGTTTACAACAGCTAACCCTCCGGTGCTGGCCGGCCGCGTCAGCGCAGCTCCTTCCGCATGGACAAACAACGGGCGCCATTCAGACGCCAGTTTCTAGTGCTGACAACTGACTCATCCTGCGGGGCGCAGGGACGCGCGGCACTAGTTGCGCGACAAACCAGCCTTGCGCAGAAGGGAGCGCACCAGCACGGCATGCCAGCGCGACCCCTCGAACCGCGCAGAGCATGCGAAGCCGGCGCGGAAACCCCCCGCAGGAGCGACTGCAGGTACGCTCCACGGCCAGCAGGTCGA